AGACGGCCCGGAGTCAGGGATCGAGGCCCTGAAAGAGGTGGGCAGCCCCGTGGAGATCTTCGCGGTCGTTCTCTTCGAGGGCTTGATCAGCTGCGACATTGACCGCAGGGCTCGCGCCGACATCCAGGAGTACATCGACCAGACATGCCACCGTTAGGGGGAAAGCCGAAGAGCACCAGACACGGACTCGAACTCGATGTCGCAGCGGATTTCCTGGAGAAGATGCACGACGAGTCGAAGATCAATTGTTGCTTGGCGGCCCCGCCATGGCCGAGGCGGGGCACTGTGACGAGCGCATTCCTTGCGGAGGGCAAGGCGCCTCGCCACAAGGGAGTCGCCCCGCTTGGCTGGCTGGAAGACGAGGCGAGCTCGTGGTTCGAGGCGTTGCTGAAGTGAGAGCGGCGCCGATCCAATTCGTGAGAGGAAAAAACCTTCGGGAGAGACCGATTAAGCACACGACGCGTCTCGATGGGAACTGGCTTTCCAGCATTATTCTGACTGGGACCACGGTGCCTCCACCTCGTCCTCCTTCCCCCCCTTCCAGGGTTTCCGACTGCTGCCCGTTCGACTTCGAGTATTCTCACCCTGCCTTTTTCCACACGCCCGAGGTGCTGTGCACAGCGCAGCTCACCGAGCGTAACAGACAGCATCTGCTGCAGACAGCCCCCGCGCCTCGTGCCAGCGTAGCAGCTTCACGCGAGCGCACCTGGCTGCGCCGCAGTTGAGGGGAGAGGATTTGCGGACCCGCTAATCCTGCAACGGCCCGCCAGGCACTACAGTCACGTTTTGCCTCATTGGTTTTGCATGTAGCCTCACTCGTCGAGTAAACAAAAAGATAGTTCCTCCTCCGCCTCTTCCACACCCTTGCAACCTGGGTCCTCCTCCGCCTCTTCCTCCTCCTGCTCCTCCTGCTCCTCCCTCCTCCTCCTCCTCCTCCTCCTCCACCCTCTGTCCTCCTCATCATCATCCTCATCATCATCTTCCCCCTTCCTCTCATACCACGCTGTGTTCGACGCATTGGTTTTTCCGTTTCGGCCAACCGGCAAGTTTATAGCACAACATGTTTGCAGTGTTTGGCCCGTTAACGCTTCGAGGGCACATTCGTGACAGCCGCATGTGGGCGATCCCTTCCTATATCCTGGTCGTCCTCCGCCTCGTCATCGTCCTCCTTCCTATTCGTCCGGGCCGCGTCTCACAGTTTTAGTGGCAAGGTGGGTTGTCTCACAGTGCCAGTTGATGCATGGGCTGTAGGACGCTTTTTGTGGAACGCCTTGCGCAAATTTACACGCAGGGGACGGTCATTTTTCGAAAAAGGGGACAGCGTTGGACAGTTTAAAAAGGTATAATCGTAGTTGTTCCTGGCCCTGAGCGGCAGAGAGATGCAGGGCAGTAACTTTTCAAAACAAGGCCCACGCCAAAATGGCAGACCAATTGTGTTGGTCATTCAAAGGGGGCACTTATGTAGTGCAGAGGAAAGCTTGTAGGGCGCATGAGTTGCGGATTTGCAACGGTATTGTGCGTTGCAGCATCACTGGCGCAGTTTGGGTGTTTTCTTTGGTCCCTCTCTTCTTCCTCCTCCTCCTCCTCATTCTCTTCCCCTTCATCACCATCATCATCGTCCTCTCCCCCTTTTCTCAACATCCGGGTCGCAAGCCTCCAAGGGAGGAAGAGAAGGAGGAGGACGTTGAAGGTTCTAGTGGGATCAGGAGGTGTACAAGGTATGTTGGGTCGGGTTGCTCCCGCGGAAGGCGCTTGTCCGCGTGCCTGTTTAATTGTTTCTGTTTGGCCGCCGAGTGCGCGATCGTCGACACGCTTGGATGCGGCTCGAAACGCTTATCGTGTCAGTGTCCAGGAACCGATGCTCCCAGGCCAGAGTGTACACATATCCACCACATGTGCAGCCGCATCCAAGGACTTGCAGAAGCAGTGGATATGGGCTTTCTTGGGCCCCGGAGTTGGCCAAAGATATCAGTACACATTTTCCCTTGGGATCTTGGGCCATCGGTTCCCCATCTGGATACGCACAAGTTCTGGTTTCGCATCTGCTGAGTGGCAGGGAGGAAGGACAGCAAACGTCAGTGTTGCCGCAGCCCTGGTCGGTCCCGTTGCTGAGCACGTGAGGGCCTTGTTCTCTGCCTGTTCGCCTCCCAAGCGTCCCCCCCTCCCGCTGCCCCCATCCTCCACGCGGGAATCGGATCAACCATCGGTGCCCAGCCCCGTCGTATACCATGATGTCTTCTCGGGCGGCTACTAATGTGGACTGAATGAAAGAAAAGGCGACACGCGTGTGCGCGTCAGTCTGCCTCGTCGTCAACCCAGTTCACAGGCTTGTGCATCGAAGTTGGTTCGTTTCGTCGCGGGTTACGCTGGTCGCAGCAGCAAGTGGCACCAGCCTCTCTGCGCAGTGGGTCAGAGCATGTGCGCGCAACACCTAGGATCCCCCCGATTCACGATCTCAAGGGCAAGGCGAGTTGTTCGTGGCCGATGCGAGTCTCTTCGCAGTGCCAGCTGATGTGTGCGCTGTGGGTTGTCGAGCCGATTGTTGCTTGCGGGGGGAAAAGAACTCGGGATCCCTCCTAGGGCGACGAGATCTACAGATGTCCACCACCCCATGCCTGGCCCATCCTGGGCTCAGGAGCGGTGTATGCTCCCTCCTGACAAGGCCAGGAAAGCGCACACACAGCTCCAGGGCCCAGCAACGGGCCTTGCCTGGGGCAGTGGATCTCGTAGATCTCGTCGCCCTACCCCCCGACTCGCCGCCGCTGCTGCCCGCCCTGCCGCTGCAGCCGCCGCTCCGGGCGCGGCCCCCACGCCCCCCGCCATGCAAGCATCTCGCTCCGCCCGCAGGCCGCCAGAGCGCTCGACCGACCAGTCGCACCGGGCACCTTCGGATGTGGGCTGCAGCCGAGAGGCGAGAGACGATCGGAGGGGGCTACAGGACAGGGATAGAGCGTTCCAGAGCGTTCCGGAACGCTCCCAGAGCGCTCCAGAGCGCTCTGGAACGGCCGCGGCGCCCAAGGATGCATCCTCCAGAGCCGCCAGGTCCCAGAGAACGCCGATTCATCCTGCTTCGATTTTATCCCTGTTCTGGCTTCGCCTCAAAACGAGAGTCGAGACGAGGCTTGCTCAAGATCACCGCGAGGCAAGAAGGCTGCCCAGGCTCACACAGGTCGTGGGGCGCAGAAAGCCGCCGATGCATACGCCCCTTCTTCTCTCCAGGGCGCCCAGGAGTGGCCCTGAACAGATGGGGTCGGAGAGCTTCGGCTTTGATCAGGGGCAACGATAGGGGGGAAAGGCATAGGGGGTACGCGTCGACTCCCAATCGCCCATTGATCGCCGATAGGGGCCCGATAGCCTCGACCTGCCCAGAAACGTTCGGATTCACGATCGAAGGCCGATCGCCGATCTATCGGCGATGTTTCGCCGATTCCAGGTAGATGTGCTCCCCCTATGCAAGTCCCCCCCTTATTGTTACCCCTCGATTGAATTGAGAACTCGGGCAAGAGCTGTATCCGTATCTATTGCGTCATGGAGGTTCGGATCCCCTTCCTCAGAAGCCAGAGGCGCAGTGGATACGGATAACATTCTGGCCCCCAAAGGATCGATGTTTGTCCATATCCGCTGCGCCTTGACTTTTTTGGGCATCATTCCCAGAAAGTCCAAGACGCAGTGGGTATGAATACAAATCCGCGTGAACAACAGAAGATAAGGGGGTCGGATGCGCCGACATTCGCGCGTAAGTTTCCCGCGTGAGGTCGCGCGTAAGCGCCCCCTTCTCCACGCGGTGTGCCACGCTGGCGGCCCGAGTAAGCCGCGGCGCAAGGTCGCTATGCCATCTTGCGGAAGACCCGCTTAGTTTCGTCACTCACGTGTGACTTTGGTCATCGGTCGTCCGCGTCCCCCTCCCCTCTTTCCACTCCCCCCCTCTCCAGAAGTTAGCGCTGGGTGGGGAGGGAAGAACACGAGGTGTGGCCAGATGACCGCGCCACATCGCCGATGCATCAGCGATGCGGCGCGATCCGGAGCCCGACTTGCTCCATCCCGACGCCGCCGGCGCATCGCCGCCGGCGTATCGGCGACACGGTGCGGCCCTCCGGCCCCGTCTTCGCCGCACCCCCTCTCTGGGGCGGCCGCCAGTTCCTCCCACTGCCCTCCTGGCCGCTCCCCTCGCCCTCTCGCCCTTTCCCTCCCGCCCCTCGCCCCCGTCTCGGTCTCCCCCGCCCTCCCCCCGAACACAAGCAGCAGTACCGACAAAAAGCGTTCTCCCCACCCTCGTCGTCTCGCCTCGCCCGCCCTGCTCGGCCCCACCCCCACATTTCCCTCCCGGTTCCCCGTCGACGACCACAATCCTGGGCCGCTGGAGCAGCTTCAGGCGCTGGGGATGACAGGGGGGAGGCAGAAGAGGACAAAGGATCAGGAGCGACAGGAGCGGGGTGAGAACTTTTCCTGAGAAGTTCCCCTCCTCGCGTCGCCTAGGAAGAGTCCTAGGAGCGGGGTGGGCAATTGCCTGGCAGCTGGCCCGATACAGGCCAGCCTAGGCAAACATCAGGCGGGGCTAGGATCGGGATAAGTCGTTGCAGGGCGTCCCAGAACGCTCCCGGAGCGTTCCGTAGAGCTCTGGAACGACCGCGGCGCCCGATATATCGTCCAGAACCGGTGGATCCCAGAGATCCTTGATTTATACCCGTCCGATTTTGTCCCTGTCTTGGTTTCGTCTTGACGCACATTGCAGGGTCCATTTGGATCCGATCGATCCGATTCGACATCGATTTCAGCCCGGCCGATCCGATTATATTCCAATGTTCCAGCGATCCGATGCGGCCCGATGTTTGCTGGCGTTGTTGCGTATGCTGACGCGGCCGATTATATTCGATTTCGATTCCATGCCGATGCAGCCCGATCCGATGTACAATTCGAGTTGATCCGGCTTCCCGATTCTATGTTGAGTGATGTTGCATTGTGGCCAGATGTTTTTTCCAGAGCGCGGCCTTTTCTGTGGCATGGGCGACACTTCGGAGCTCCGCTTTTGCGAAGCCGAGATCGACAGCACGGGCGGTCTGACAGAAACCTACGAGTGGCTCATGAGGTCCCGTCCTAGCCTCGATCGTGTGCGACTGGTCTCCGCCCCCCGATTCTACAATAGGCACGTCAACAAAAAGAAACCGTCCTGCCAGCAGGTGCCCCACTGGATGTGATTCTTCCCCGTTGTCCTCAAGAGGCCCGAAGAAGATCTGGGGCTCCTCACGATGTTCAAAATTCGACGACCAACGCGCTCCCAGATTTCTAACCGCAAGATTTCTCGTCGTACGTGTATCCTGTATGTTGCGACCCTGATGCGCGGTGAGCAGAGTGCACGCAGGCATGCGAGCGCCCGTGCACGCGAGCATGCTCTGGAATGCCTTGCCACGCCGAAGAGGCTGCAGCGGAAGGAGCGGCAGTGGTAGCGGCAGAGAGAGTTACGGGCGGGAGCAGCAGCAGCAGCAGAGAAGCCAGACTTAGGCATGCGTCACGATGCCAGCTCCGTTCCCAGTTGCCTTGGCATGCTGATTCTTATGGCGCCAGTCCCTTCTTCCCTGGTTGACCACGCCAGGGACAGAGCAGGAAGACGGAAATAATAACAAGAATAAGAGGATGAGGACCAGCACGGAGAGGAGAGGGAGGAGGAGGAGGAGGAGGAGGAGGAGGAGGAGGAGGAGGAGGAGGAGGAGAGGTGGGAGAAGGGGGCGAGGGTGAGCAGTAAAAGGAGAAGCAGGGTGGGCAGGAAGGAAAGGAGGAGGAGAAGCAGCAGCAGGATGAGGAAGAGGAGAAGAAAGAGCAGTGATAGAGGGAGAGATAGAGGCATGGAGAGAGGAGGAGGAGGAAGAGGAGGAGAAGAAGGAGGAGGAAGAGGAGGAGGAGGAGGAGGAGGAGGAGCAGCAGAGGCAGGAGCAGGAGCAGGAGCAGGAGGAGGAGCAGGAGGAGGAGCAGCCGCAGGAGGAGCAGGAGGAGCAGGAGCAGGACCAGGAGGATGAGGAGGAGCTGAAGGAGCAGAAGGAGGTAGAAGAGGAACAGGATGAGTAGGAGGAACAGGAGGAACAGAAGAACAGGAGGAGGAAGAGAAGGTACAGGAGGAATAACAGGAGGAGGGATGGAGATAGGAGGAAGAAGAGGAGGTGGAAAAGGGGGAAAGGGAAAGAGAAGGAAAAGGAGAAGGAGGAAGAGAGGAAGAGAAGGAGGTGGAAGGTGAAGTCGAAGTTGAGGGTGAGGTTGAGGAGGAGGAGGAGGAGGAGGCGGAGGAGGAGCAGCAGCAGCAGCAGGAGCAGCAAGTTGTTTCAGGGGCCCGGTAGGGCGTCAAGAATGCGACCCCCCTCCTCCTCCTGCACCTGATCTTGCTGCTGCTTCTGACCCTCTGTCTGCTCACTCATGCGGTTCCTCCTCCTGCTCCTCCTTCTTTTCCGCCTCCTCCTTCTTCTCCTCCTCCTCCTCCTCCTCCTCCTCCTCCTCCTCCTCCTCCTCCTCCTCCTCCTCCTCCTCCTCCTCCTCCCCCAGATTCTCACCAAGATGAATTCCCTGAATTCCCTCTCCCCCCAATCCTCCCTCCTGGTCCTCCTCCTCCTCCTCCTCCTCCTCTTCCTCCTCTTCCTCCTCCTCCTGAACTCAGCAAGCCATGTTTGGAGGTGGTGGCTCACCACAGGGTTGAGTATCTCACGAGATTTCTGTCAAGGGCCAAGGGCCCAAGGTTTTTCAGTGCAGCGGAGGAGCGTACCATGGGCACTCCAGTGTAGCTCACACGCCCAAGGAGGCCGGCCGCGGTGGTCAGACTTAACATTGTCACGTAGTCATGCTCATGCATGCTCCTCCTCCTCCTCCTCCTCCTCCTCCTCCTCCTCCTCCTCCTTCTCCTTGCCCTCCTCCTCCTCCTCCTCCTCCTCCTCCCCTCCTCCTTCTCCTTGCCCTTCCTCCTCCTCCTCCTCTCCTCCCCCGCATTCCCGCCAGGATGAATTCCATGAATTCCTTCTCTCCCCTTCTTCTCCTCCTCCTCCTCCCCCTCCTCCTCCTCCTCCTCCTCCTCCTCCTCCTCCTGCTCCTCCTCCTCATCCTCCTCCTCCTCCTCCTCCTTCTCCTCCTCATCCTCCTCTTCCGACCCGATCTATGCAGCGTATAAGAAGGAAGAGGAGGAGGATGAGAAAGAGGAGGCGGAGGAGAAGAAGGAGGAGGAAGAGACGTCTAGACTGCCTTCAGCTCTACGAGAGAGCAGACTGAGCTCACCTTGGGTCCGCGGCAAATTCCCAAACTCACTCAGCGCATTCCCCGCCACACGTCATGATCCTTGCGCCCCGTCTCCCACTCACCTCTCCTCCCCTTCCCTCTCTCCCACTCCCCCATCCCCCCCTCCTTCTCATTCGCTGCCCCCCTTTCCCCCCCTCCCTCCTCCTCCTCCTCCTCCTCCTCCTCCTCCTCCTCCTCCTCCTCCTCCTCCTCCTCCTCCTCCTCCTCCTCCTCCTCCTCCTCTTTCTCCTCCGACTCCTCCTCCTCCTCCTCCTCCTCTCTCCTCCTCCTCCTCCGCCGCCGCCGCCTCCTCCTCCTCCTCATCCTAGTCCTAGTCCTAGTCCTAGTCCTAGTCTAGTCCTAGTCCTAGTCCTGTCCTTCTCCACCTCCTCCTCCTCCTCTCCTCCACTTCCTCCTCCCCCATCCTTCTTGTCCTCCTCCTCTCCTCCTTCTCCTCTTCCTCCCCCTCCTCCTCCTCCTCTTCCTCCTCCTCCTCCCCATCCTGCTCCTATTCCTCCTCCTCCTCCTCCTTCTCTTCCTGCTCCTCCTCCTCCTCCTCCTCCTCATCGTGCTCCTTGTGTTCCTCCTCCTGTTCCTCCGCCATCTCCCCTCCTCCTCCTCCTCCTCCACTCCTGTTCCTCCTCCTCCTCCTTCCTCCTCCTCCCCTCCTCTCTCCCTCCTTCCTCCTCCTCCTCCTCCTCCTCCTCCTCCTCCTCCCTCCTCCTCCCTCCTCTTCCTCCTCCTCCTCCGCCGCCTCCTCCTCCTCTTCCTCCCCCTCCTCCTTCTCATCCTCCTCTTTCTCCTCCTCCTCCTTCATCCCTCAAGCCATTCAGGCCCGAGGCATTGTGCGCGAGACAGCCCCATACCTGAGAGTGGCGGTTGGGTGCCTCCCTTCTTATGTGATACACATGCGTAGTTTCGACGAAAACGAGTTTCAGGCAGCATGGCGGTCACATCCAGACCCTGGTGTGAGTGTGCTCACAGCAAGACACTTCGAATACACGACGATATGGCGAGATGGAGCTGTGCATGCGGGAACTATGGGAAGACGGTTCGCCTATTCCAACCACGGTCGCCAGAGCCAACTGAACATCGCGTGGTGTTCGACAAGCAGGCTGGGCACACCGACAACGAGGACAAGGTGGCGTCCATCCGAGGGCGCAGCCCCAGCAGGACAGCCTACCAGGAGAGGGCGGTCAAGCAGTAGTTGGCCCCGCTCCTGGAGCAGGTCACGCGGGCGGCCGACAGCGAGGAGATGTAACACGCGCTGCAGGCCCAGAGCCAGAAGCTGGCGGAGAGGGCGACCCAGGAGTGCGCCAAGTCCGTGGGGAGCGGCTGCGCACATGCACGAGCAGACGGTGCCGCAGGTGCTGCGGCTTAGGACGCAGTTCCAGACCGCGGAGTCCAAGGAGAAGGGCGTTGCCCTTGAGCTCGCGCTTGCTGGAGGGGCGAAGAAGAAGGCCGCTCAAGCCCTCGCGCAGGCCGAAGGGCTTGACGCGGGGGCCACCAGCCAGAACCAGTGCGGAAGTGGATGGGCGCCGCGGTTCAATGCCCCAGAGACATCATGGATGAGAAGCAGCGGCGCCTGGGAGAAGGTTGGAGTCCATCGCGTCAAGATAGTGCTGAGGAGCTCGAGGAGCTTCTCGAACAGATTCGCACACGAGTCCGCAATGGGCGTTTGCCTGATCTTACAGGAGCCCAACTGCGCGAGACCAGGCGCTAGCTCAAGCTCAACGCGGCCATGGGCGTCGACGTGTTCACCGGAGTGGATCTGGACAGATCACCCATGGCGGCGCATGGTGAGCTGGCCGTGATGCTCAACGCTTGTTGGCAGATGCTTTGCTGACCGCTCCATCTGCCGACGGTCATCGGCACGCTGTTGCCAGAGAAGGTCACGGGCGACAGGGTGACAGATTTGCTGCCACACCTAACAGGCGCGCGAGCGCTGGGCCGCGCGCTGCCCAGGGGCGCGCGAGGCGCCGCGGGGCGCGGCAGTCAAAAGCAACGCGGCCATCCAGGAGAGGTTCATCAGAGTGGTAGACGAGGAGCAGGCGAGTCTTCTCGGGGCTGCCCATGTCCACGGGCCCTTGGACATCGCCAGATTCCACGACGCGATGAGGCGGCTGAAGCGCGGCCGAGCCGCCCTGCGATTTGGGCTGCTGCACGAGGATCTTGCGCTGGGGCTGCCGCTGCTGCGCGCGTCGATCATGCGACTGAGACGGGCGGGGGCGGATGCGTCAGGATTCGTGCCGACGCATTCAATTGTTCAGGGTTTGAGAGCAGGGACTCGGTCTGCGAAGACAAATGCGCATCTCGTCATGATGGGCCCCACAGGCCCCTGCCATCCGTCGCACAGATTGTGGATTGACGCTGCGAGCTAGGTCGCGAGAGGATCCGAGAGCGCAGCGGTTAAACCAGTCAGCACGCATATGGCCGTGGCGCGCCTAAAGGTGATTAAGGAAGGCCTGAAAATTCACCGACGAGCGTCGTCGCGTGCACCAAATTGGCTCGCGCGCGAGCTGTCGCGCGAAGGGCGAAGCAACGTGGCCTCTGCGCTAGGCAGGTTGCCCATGCAGCGCATCTCGGCAGCGGCATGTTTCATGCCGGAGCTATTCGCACAGCCATGGATGGCAAGCACAAGACAACGCCCGCCAGGGTCTTGCGCTGCGCCACGACGGCGCGCAGGTACAAGCCGACCGCGAATTTAGAGCAGCAGGGCGCGTCGGCGGCAGGGGCCGATGGGCACCAGCTGCGCGGCGCGCTCGGCGGGCGGACGCAGCGCGCGAGGCAATGCTCGCGCGGCGCAGCGGCGCCTGGGCTGCCAGACAGGCTTTGCGC